CCCCAAAACCCCAAAACCCCAAAACCCCACGGATCAAATACAGGGATTGATTGTCTGTGTGAAAGAACTTGATTAAAATTCATATAAATGTATATATAATACTAAGAAGTCATTAATAGTTGCTCAAATCATTTAGACTAAAATATTGCTGTTCTTATTGATTCTTCATTCTACTATCTTTATATCTTTAGATTCATGGTCATCTTTAGAATCATGATATCTTACAATTGAAAGTTTACTTTCCATTTTTGCTTCTTTTAATTAGGTTGATCTAAAATTACTCTAAGTAGTTTATGTAACTCCGAAGTCAGGATTTAGAGTTGAAAGCATCTAATTTCCACCATGCGCGCTAGTAGGAGAACTAACTTATGAAACTACTGTTACATTTGTTTGATCCATATTATATGAGGTATCCAAAACTCTATGATGCTTGACTGGCTAAGTTTTCAATGTTTTAACATCGTTCTTCTTTAGACATTGGCAGAAATCCTTTCTACAAACCCACTTCATTCGGCCTCCAGTTTTCTCTATTGTAATGCAGCATCTGAATACAATCATGAATGAAAACGTTAAAGCTAAAGCTGAAATCACTGGAACACCAATAAGGATGAACCATTGAATTGGAGATTTTGATGATGAAGATGAGTCATTTTATGATTATGAAGGATCTAATGATTTCTCAACTGCAAGGATATTATCAAAGCTATCAAGGCCACCTTTTTAGAATAGTAAAACTATATTGCTATCTAATGATAAATCTGTATATTTGAACAAATCCTCACCATAGTAATCTTTATATTCTGTTGAAAAATCCTAGAAAAATACTCGATACTCAGTTATTTCTGCTTGAGTTAAATTTGAGCTAGAACTACCTGAATTTGATGAATTGCTTGTAGTATTTTATGTATCATTTGCACTATCTTAGCTTGAATCAGTTTAATTATTTGCGCTATTACTTTTATCACTTTCATTTTTATTATTTTTACCATTGCTGATACTATTTTCTTCACCATTTCCATTACCATTAAGATCGCCAGTGCTATTATTGTTATTTCCATTGCTATTATTGCTATTTCCATTGCTTTCATTATTTCCATTCCCATTATTTTTGCCATTTCCCCCTTAGTTCTACTTCTTTTGATTATATTTGGTTTTGTAATTTTAAAAGAAATCACTTTTTTTTATTTTAGTATTAGAATTATTTTATTATTCTGAATTCTTATTTGTATCTCCATTAATAGTTGATGAGTCATTGCTATTTGTTTAATTATTCTCTCCTCCTTTATCTTGGCTATCTCTATTTGAAGAATTATTATCTCGAGATGAACTACTATTTGAAGATGTACTAGAATCACCTGTCGAATTACTACTAATAGAAGAAGTTTCATTCTTATCTTTATTAGAATTTCCATTAGCTGTGCCATTTCCATTAGAGTTAGAATTTCCATTTGATTTAGAAATTTCAGCTCCATCTTCATTTTCAAGAATTCGTGACATTGATTTTACATCAGTTAATTATCTGTTTGATTGCAATTTCTTTAGCAATTAAGAATTACTATCAGTAACAAAGTAGGATAGAGCTACTATGATTGCTACTATAATTGCAAATTTCGCTTGCATATTTAAATTATTATTTATTTAAAAGCTGCTTTTGAGGAGAAATTATAGTTTATTCTTACTAAATTTGCATAAAATATCAATGTAAAAATATCATATAGAAACTCTCAAGCTACTCTACTACTAATTTAAGTAGGGGTTTTGGGGTTTTGGGGTTTTGGGG